GCATGAACTTCTGCAGCGGTTCCCATGAGGACTCGATATCCTCAAAACCTTCCCAAAACACTTCCAGCATGAATCTTTCACATCCGGACACAAACTTGTATCCCTCGATGGACCTTCAGCATGATCCCTTGCTCGGAAACGCGTTCGAGGATCTCGTCGGTCACTTCCAGCTTGTCTTCGGCGTAGAGCTTGACTCTTGATGTGTGGGCTTCCCGCAGCTCATGAGTCACCAGGTGCTCCAGCACAACGGAGAATTCGCCCATCCGGTAGGGGCCAGTCCAGATTACGAGCAGCTTGGGATGGTAACGTTCGTCGACGTGGGACCCAAGCACATAATCATTGCGCTGCTCTCGTACTTTTCAGTCGCCTTCGCCGCACGCGTTGCATTCTTTTCCAGGACTTCCTTGTGCATGACTTACAGGCTAGTACGCAGCTTGTCCAGGTTCTTGGGGATGTCCTTGACTGTCCAGTCGCTCTCTCGGAGTTCCTTTTTCATGCCCACCGCGACGACATCCAGGGGGGTCGTCAGGTTTAAAGCCGTAAACAGCTCCATAGGCGACTTGCTCGTCAGGGATGCTACCGGTGTTTGGTTCAGGTTGGCTTGGACCACCGGCAATAGGTAGTGCCATTCTTGTTCGGCTAGCTGGTACTCTCGCAGCATGACCCGCATCACTTGAAGGATGTCGCGGTTCATCCGCTCAACCGTTCCATTGCGCCAAGGGCAGTAGGCCAAGGTTAGGCCATGATGGACCTTGAACTGGTGGGCTAGCACCTTCATGGCCACGTTTTTGAAGTGGGTTCCTTGGTCGATGACCCAGACTCGCGGCATTCCAAACCGGTTTGTCCAGTCCACCAGGGCATCCATGCATACTTGGCTCGTGGGGCCATCGCATGCAATGAGCTCGCAGTAGTGGGTAAGGTCGTCTTTGAGTACCAGCACGTACTTAGCGCCACTGTACGCTTCGCCCATGTAGAGGTAGTCGAAGTGGATTCCTTCGTTGCGCTCTTTCGCGTGCCATCTCGGAGCATACGGTCGATGGACCACCCTTCCCCCTTTTACATGACGGTACAATAAGCAGCCATGGAGAAATTCACTGGCCCTGTCGGCCAAGCGGTCCACATAGAACAGGCGGCGGAATTGTAGCCATTAACGCTGCATGACCCGATGTCCGGCACTGCCGCAGTGGGTCCGCCACACATGGCCACACAAAGTCCTTTGTCCAGCGGCCGCAGTTTTGGTTGTGCCGGTGGAGGGACTTTGCGCGTTTTGATCTTCGTTGACCAGCCATATCCCCGACGTATTTTTACCCGCTTGGTCGCCAGACTTAGTGTCGGCTGACCCCAACGGCTCATCATTTTCCGCGCAAAGGTTGTGGATGCCGTCGATGTGTATGATTTAATAACGATAGCCGCCAATAATGGCAGCCCATCGCATGAGTTTGCCGCGTGTGTGCACCTTCCATTCTTCGCCCGGGGCAAATACATGGATGAGGTTCTTGTGGTCACAGTACATCTTGAACCCCGTAGGTCGCATAAGCATGTAATTGAGCTTCTCGCACGCGCAATAGGGTAGGCCTCTTCTCGATGACTGACCACGCCTTCTGGGCGCCCGCAAACATCCCCGACTGACATAGTTCGTGACGATGTTCTTGGACTGGGCTGTCATCATCGAATTGTTACCACAATAGACCATCAATAATCGCTCGCATCCGTAAACAGCCACCTCATGGCGTCGTCACGCGGGTGAGATAGTTCCACCGATGATCGTAGCTTGGATTTTACGGCGTCAAACGCTTGCTTCTCGCCGTCAGTCAGTTCCAATTGAACACCAGACGCGATCCGCTTCTTCTTGCCGTTGCCGTCGAGGGCCTTCGTCAGACACTGCTGCAGTGGGTCGACAGTCTGTGCGTACTCTGTCATCGCGTCCCGCAGCCAGTTCACGGCGCACACAAACTGCTGCAATTCACCCGCATTCGTAGGGTAGGGGAGCGCACACAGATGTTCAATGCGTTCAGGGTCTTGCTTGACGCCATCACCACTGATGATGCGTCCGCATCACTTGACTTGGTCCGTGAACAGCTTGGTCTTGGCCGGACTCAGCTTGAACCCATACTCGGCCACTCGATCGAAGGACGACTTGAGAGCATCCTCGTACTCTTCCACTGTGTCGGCGTACACAAATATGCCGTCGATCCAGATCAGAATGTTCTTGTAGAGCAGGTCCTTTAGCACTCCTCGTTCGTTGATTACACGTATAGGTCACGGTCCACATGGCCTTGCATCACCCGGCCCGGGGTGTATAGGCATCCATTCAGCACGAACGACAGCTGTCTGGGTGTAATGGGAACTGCCAAAAGCACTTGGGCAGGTCAAACACGCCCATCGCTTTCTTGCCACGCTGGTTTTGTAGGATGGTAGCTAGGAATGGCATTGTCCCGCCTTCTTCGGCATTGTCCCAGCCTTCTTCGGCTCGGTTCACGACGCAGTAGTCGTTGGTCTGCCGATAGTTCTTGAGCACGTCATCGTCGCTCCATTTGTCGGCCGACTTCAATGACTCGCGCCCATCTGGCTTAAGAAGTGGATTCACCGGGCTACACCACGCACTCTGCTGGTTGCTCTTGATCACGCCTGCATCGAGTAGTTCTTGTGCAAACAACTTGAGGAACCTTTCCTCCAGGAGGTTGTGCTTCCTTCCATTGCATCGGTAAGGAACAAACCCATCCTTCGGGGTCACCTTCAGCGACTTCACTTTCACTGGTGGGTCTGACCTGTCGAACTTGAGGCGCCAGATTTCATGCTTGCTGAGCACATCCCACAAGTACTTAACCCGCTAAGATGGACGAGATTTCCCAATGAGAAATATTCTCATTGGCAGGATTAGCCAATTAAATCATAGTATTTGGATTGAGTTCAGAGCAAGATAGCCAATCATGAAAAGGTAGCCCAAATCCCGCCATTCTATTGGCTCTGCCAATGAGAGTATTTCTCATCGGGACAATGGTTGGAATATTAATAGCGATTCTGAGTATATTAATACGCTTAAGTTGAACTTGCGCATGAGAAATATTCTCATCGGCCACTTTACATAGTTTAATCGAGATATTTCTTATGTATACTTGACTTGCACATTGCTTCCCATCCGAGCGGGTTAACATGTACCATTGGAAATCCGTTATCGACTACGCCTTTGATTATGCCTTGCAGGGTTCCCTCAACTTCATTCTTGGCTACAGGTAGCACCGCCTTCATGGAAGCGCCTCGGATGGCCGATCGCTGGGGCAACTCCATGCAATCGGCACCAGCTTCTCCAGTCGTCGCCGTCTTCATCCACTTGTAGGCGCGCCACCTGTTCCAACAGGCGGTCGATGTCGAAACCAATGGTCTTGAGGGTGTCATCCGAGACGAGGAACTCATCTCCATCGTTGACCACATAACAGCGGCGCTTGCCTGGCAACTTGACTGGTCCAGCGGCCGTCTGCATTGTCAGCGAATGGTAGGAGGTTGCTTCGAATGGCATCTGATTACATGCTGTTCCCACAAATGGAGCCGCCAACTTGACAACTTGAAGTTGGGGCTGTAACGCTTGAAGTTCATCCACCATGACCTGTGGCATAATGTTCTGGTCTGCGCCGGTGTCCGGGCAGTATGGAACTTCCAGCACACTGTTAAGCCGCATCCAGCGTCCATCATCTTCCATGGTGGGCGGTGGGGGCTTCTTCATTCGCTTCGCTTGCATATTAGCTTTGCGCTCCCGCGCCTGGGACCGCTTGACGGCGTTCTTGCTCTTCTTCCAGCTTGTATCACCGCTATCCCCGTCTTTTTTGTTGGGACACTCCCGGGCCATGTGTCTTGGCTGCTGGCAGACAAAGCACAGAATGCCGCGGTCATCTCGGCCAGGTGCAAATCGAGGGCGCGCTTCATTTGGGCAGGGCGGCCATAGTGTCTTTGGCCCCCAATTCGCTTGCGGTCCGTACTTCGTGGCTGGTGCCCCCCCCGCTCGTTTCTGGGTCGACGGGGACCACATCACCGCACTTCTTACCGACTTGATGTATCCACCCGGTGGACGTGGGTAATTTCCTCGGAATTCCCGCTGGTCTCGAACAGCTTACAGACAACGAGGGAATTTAAGGCTCATCGAAGTTCTGTGTGTAGCGCAAATTTCACGATATGACTGGATAGCGTAGTTCGAAATTCGAAACATATTATAAAAATTCACCAATAGAAATTTAAGTATTTCGTGATTTGCTGCTGATTGGCTGAAAAAAGTGTGTGACACTCAAAACTTCGATGAGCCTTAAATTCCCTCGTTGTCTGTAGTTGGCGTTCTTCGCATGCCTACTAATGCAACATCCTTGGTCGTCTTCTTCACGGCCACGCTTTGACCCATAGCTGTTCCTTTGTTGGTTGACCATGTCTGCATCATGCGTTCGATCGAGCTGTTCGCATAGGATGTCCGCAAAGGCCACCAGGTCGTTCGCCGGCACGGTCTTCGTTTGCTCTTCCACTCTGTCGCGCAGGTAGCTGGGTGTGAGATGCGCTGCTACCACCTTCACGAACATTCTCAGCATGGTTGAGTCCTTGAGTTGTTGACGTAAACCGTTCTCATCGATCAAATCATCCACCCGCTCCATAAATGACACCAGGCGGCTAGTCACGTCTCTATGGGGGTCAACGCTCAGCGCCCGACCGTAGATTTGTATGTCTGACATGGTGGGTGTCCACTTGATTGGTCGCTGTTGCCCGACGATTTCCATGATGCAATCGCGGTAGTCGTCCTCACTGGGTTGTTCCACAGGCACTCGCCACACATAAGTGCATGTAGTAGCCTTCAGGAGGCTGTGGTCAATGGAAGGGATCCATCACACAGCACTCCGTCGCCACTCGCCACCCATGAGTTGCGCATTCGCCCGTAACTTGTCCTCATATATTTCCCTCTTCTTCACCCAACTCACCAGGAAAGTTCTGTCCATACAGGTGAGGGGTTGGACATCTGTCACCACCTATGAAGGTCCACTGGAGTCTCCGCTGCTTGGTGTCGGTGGTCCGCTCGAAAGTGGTCCCCATCCCGAGCTGCTTGGTATACTTGTGTCCAGCATCCGGCGGTCATGGGGCGCACGCGCCACTTTGGCGTGGTCGACACGCTTTTCCGTTGGGGGACGGTTGGCCTTGTTGATCCGCCGCCGCCCAGCTTGCTTACGCTGTTCTTCCTGGTATTCCTTTTCCCCTTCCTCACTGTCAGGAGTATTGTCCGGTCGATTCCGTCGTTCCGTACGTAGGTTGGCTCGGGTTTCCGCCTTTTCGCTCGCTCGCTTCTCTGCTTCGGACGTTTCGTGCGTAGGGTAGTCTTCGTCGACATAGGCGCCTTCGATCGGGGGTCGTGGTAATTGTTCCGAGTTCGGTCCCATGGTTTGGCCGCCATATCGCCGCCGCGATTCGTCCCAGGTCATGGACGCCGCTCGCGCGCTACCCGTGACCTTGTTCGCCTTGGCCAGCTCTTACATTGTCTTCCAACTTCTTCGCTTTTGGACTCTTCTATAACCGGCAGCACATCCGTGGTCTCTCCGACAACCGGGATCAACGGTAGCTCCGTCACTGGTACTTCTTCTTCAGTCTCGCTGCCCGCTGCTGCTGGCGCCGTTGCAGCGGCTTTAGGCTTCTGGGCGCGATCTTTTGCGTTCTTCACCATTGCTCTCAGTTCCGTAGGTCACTGGAATTGAAGTATACTTTGTGTTGTTTCCCACGTCAGTACCAACACAAACAACCAAATGGGGGAGTGCCGACTCCCTGCAAACCGCACACTTGATTGACATGATGTTACCACGGTGCTGCAGAACCAAGAGTGAGATTCCGGCAGTTGGCTGGGACAGGTGTTCTGTTTTCTACGTCCTAGTGTACTACTACTACGCCTTTCCGTGTCATGTCAGTGCGGCAAGTCCTCCATTCCTCTGTTACTGTAATCCTCACTCGACAACGCCTTGCATCACGGTATGCGCATCATAGTTGTTACGTTCAGATTAAAGTATTTTATGTATGATGTCAACGAAACCAGCTGCACTTGCCATAGCTGGCACACGACAAGCCAGGATCTTCGCAGGTCCAAGTGGCCTTTCACTTGCGATACGCGCCAATGTATTGTTCACAAGAACACGAGCAAATCTCCAGGATTTCCACATTTACAAGCATTGGATTCTATTTGTAGAGATCATATGATAGCTGATGTAGTAACTATTATTGGAACAGAAGATATTGTTTTCGGTGAAGTAGATAGATAAGAATTATATTTTATGATTCATAAATATATTAATAAATTTAAATTAATGTAAACAAAAATCTCTTTAATTTTTAAATGTGAAACATTTAAGTTGTATGAAGTTTGATTTTTTGCCTTTTATCTTGTTCCTAACAGTAAAATTGAATTTTTAATTTGTTCTTCTTTTTTAATTCTTTATAAAAAATAACGACTACTAGTAAATTTTTATAGAATTCAATTTTTAATTTGTTTCTTTTTTAATTCTTTTTAAAAAATATCGACTATTTTTATAGGACTTGAACCTATAACTTTAGGATTATGATTCCTACGCTCTACCAATTGAACTACAACAACTTTACTTTATTCTATTATCCACTATTTATACTCTTAGTTTATTAGTTATGAAAAAAGATGTAAGGGGAAGTTCCAAGTAGTTTTCAGAAATAGCATGGGCCAATCAAAATCGATTTACAGTTAACTCTTTTTTTTTCACGATTTAGAAAAAGACTTGAAGGACCTCTTTTTTTACTTTTGGTATAGAGAGTTGCGTAAAAAATCGCACAAAAAGAGTTAAAAAAGTACTTCCTCCGTTCAGAAATACCTGTGTGAACTTTTTTCGTGGGTACTTCGACGTAAAATGTTTTGGTTTTGTATGAAGGATTCGGCCAAAACCATATGTGTAATGTATTTTTATTCAAAATCCAAAAATTACGACCAGGTACTGCATGATGTGCTGCTCACATTGGGGATTGCCCAGAGACTTTCAAGCGTCGTCAACAATATTCAACGCTGGGCCAAGCATGCCCACGATTTCGCCAACGAGGTGCTCATCGTCCAAACGAGACTCTAGAGCATCGAGTTCAAGCGTCACATCTTCATCGCATGGTGGTCTCAATGCCACTGTTCCAGACTTCAATTGCAAGTCCTTCTTCAAGTGAGGCAGCTTGTAGATGTTGTCACCTTCCAACTTGAACGCTTCTTCCATCACCTTTTGCAATGTCATAAAGGTCTTGTCCCAAACTTGGCTTGCCAGGCTTGAATACGCGTCTTGAACGGACGCAATAAGATCGTCAATTGTCCGCATAGCAGTCTGGTGCTGGAGACTTTGGATAGCGTTGAAGAAACCAAGGTCCAGGACGTTGAAGTTCGGACTCATTGCTGGCTGCGCGACCAGCTGTATGTTCCAGCCATTCTTGCGGCTGGCAGCCACCACCTCTGCGTCGTCAACAGCAACATGCGGTCGCGCGTTGTTTTGCTGCAGGTAAATTGTACCACCACGCTGCCCAGGCCACTTCGCTTGGATAGCTGGTATAACCTTGTCAACTAACAGTCGACGGTAGATGGGCTTTGTCACCGTCATGGGGACAGTGACGGGCGTGCCACGGTCACGGTTCTTGCTCCGACGTGCCGCCACTTTGGTTTCGACGATGGGCCACAGTCCAATCTTGCCATCCCACATGACGCGCCGTCCAAAGTCAAATCTAGGCCGCGCAACCGCACACAAGAACATCACCTTAGTGATGTGGCGCTTGGATTGGACCTTCCGTTGGGGAATGGGTTCATCATGCCAAAGGTAGTCGCGGTGATTGATTTGAGTGATGTAGAACCACTTCTCATTGAGGTGCACATAGTCCAACACGTCATGCCACACACGATAGCGACCATGACCCACCCGCACGAACTTCTGGACGAATTTGAAGCGGTCGGACTTTTGCTTGACGGACAACATGGGCTTCACACGGCTCGTGCGGCGGCAAAGTTTGTTGGCCTGCAGGAGATTCCAAAGCGAAGTGTTGGGTATCCCAGTTGCAGCCGCCAATGAACGGAAGTTGGATCGTCGGTACGACGGCACATTTGTGACGACGTTTCGTACGCTGTCACCATCGTACTTGCGGGGCGCACCACAGCGACTTTTCTTCCTTGACGCAACCATGGCGCATCCCGTCTCAGCAGCCGTCTGGCATCCTCGGAGCCAAATGCGGGATATGGTTTATTGGGAGACATTGAACGTGCGCATGAGCTCCTTCATGTCCCCGGAACCGACACGGCCGTTCTTATTGAGCTGTACAAGACGATGGTACAATGCCGTTCATTGATCGTCCGTGAGTTCTGTGACGGTCGTAGGGGTTATACGCACAAAAGTTACGAAGGTCCGGAGGTTCGGGCTTCAAGACCGGATACTCTCGGCCTGGCCAAGAAGAACACAGCAAGAAAGGAGTAGATCCAAATGTTAGGCAAATGTAAAAGTGAACTATCTAAAAACTAGCTAAGGCTGACGACCTTTGGGGAAAGGTCCTGTAGAATAATAGGCAAGACGGTCAAATTCGAAGGTAGTCGGCCCGTCGAATAATATACCTTTGCGATGGTAATACCACGATGTGGTATAGTAGTACAAGCCCATGCTCCAGCTCCGTCACAAGTCCCGCGGCGAAGATTTGACCCTCTCGTCGAATTAGATATGAATCGACGGAGTTGGGTAGGTGGTGTCGGGTAGGTCAAAAGGGTAAAATGGCCAGTTTGCACATAGCCGGTTTTCGTTGCCACAAAAGTAGTGATGCTGGTGCTGACAACAGACAAAGCCGAGGATAGTGGTGTAAATGGAGGAGCCGGAAGGAGGTCGCGTGAAAGTGAATGGTCATGGAGATCGGTACGACGAGGCCGCGACAAAATGTACGACGGCACCCGGGGCCAGGTGCTGGTAGTCTCAGACTGGACGGACATAATATCGCAGACTGGGCAGATGATTTGACGAAATATGTCGGAAAACAAGGGAATAGTCGGTCAGACGGGAACTGACTGCAGTCTCCATCCATCACTCTGTCAGGCAGCCAATCAGAGGCGACCATGAGTTGACTTCGGCCAGTTGGTAGGATCGTCGATTTGTGGTTCTCTGGGTAGGGCATTTCCCAACTTACGCGTCATGATTCCCACGTCAGGGGCAGCCGGGAAGAAGAAGCGGTCGACGTTGTTGCCTTTGACTCCTCGCAACGCGGAGATCCAGAGCGAGGCGGCTACCTTGCGGCAGACAGATCGTTAGGCAGACGAGGCTAAACGAGCAGCAGCGCAGGTCAACGACGCCGCTCATCAGCGACGGCTGGCATTGGCGAACAAGATCGTGGTGTTGGCGGAGGCGCAGCAGGACGAGTTCGATCGATGGGTGCCAGAAACGCCGGAAGACTACACGGTGGGCGAGTACCTCCAATGGTATACCGCACAGCCTAGCCTATCCATGAAGTCCAAAGCACACCAAGAAGCGTATATATTTGAATTGAGAGGAATTAATTCCGTGAGGCAAACTTTTGACCATTTACCTCAAAACATTATATATCCACTTTGGGTGATAAATATAGAAAGATGTAGGATGTACCACTTGATGCTCTTAACATCGTGATCGCTTTAACATACGAAGTACGGTATTGTCTTTGACTCGTCGCAACGCGGAGATCCAGAGCGAGGCGGCTATCTTGCGGCAGACTGATCGTCAGGCAGACAAGGCTAATAGAGCAGCAGCGCAGGCCAAGACGCCGCTCATCAGCGACGGCTGGCATTGGCGAATAAGATCGTGGCGTTGGCGGAGGCGCAGCAGGACGAGTTCGATCGATGGGTGCCAGAAACGCCGGAAGACTACACGGTGGGCGAGTACCTCCAATGGTATACCGCACAGCCCGGCCTGTCCATGAAGTCTAAAGTACACCAAGAGGCGTCCGTGGCCGCGTTTCGAGCGGAGAGGAAGATGAAAGCTAGCGTGCAAGGCCTGGACTCCGATGAGGACGAGGGCAAGACGATCGATGAGAAAGGAGAAGAAAACGGGGGCAGCCGTAGCGCGTCGGACGATGAAGACACCGAGTCGGAGGTAGAGCTCCTTGTCACCAGCGTCGTCGACTCGTCCAGCACGAAACAGTTGAGTCGCTTGAAGCGGCCGTCGCCCCCGACGATATCGACTGTCGCCCAATCACACAAGCGGATGAAACACCAAGCGAAGCTGGCCAGTTCGCTTCGAATTGATGAGGAAGGGGTGAAACGTCTGGAGCACATCCGACATTCCTTGTCTGAGGCCGTGAAGAAGGCTTACATCGCAGCGCGTGATCGGAAACCGTGGGAGCAATGGGTGGAGAACTTTGTGTCGTTCGTGCCAGGTCAGACGAAGGCTGAACGGTCGTGGAATTACAGCCTACGCCGGTTTTGGGAGAAGCACGGCGAGGTTATTTGGAACCGGTATTTCTGGATCGGATGTGGTAGTTGTGGTGATGCCAGTGGCTAGGTCCATGCTTCGTCCAACGATCCCAAACACAAACAAGAGAAAGCCAAGAACGAGTGGGTAAGGCTGGCTGCATAGGTTCGCCGGGACGTCGGCGTTCCACTTTCTGTTTCACAATGTCCACCCGTATTGGGCCGAGATCACGCAAGAGCCGTACAGTCTGGCGTCGATGCAGACCAGCCTGGGCGAAGACGAGACCGTACGATACATCGAGACGCACGGGACGAGCCCATGGCCCGACATCGTCGCGTTTTCGGGAGGCATGCGTCTACCACGTTTTCAGGCCTACACGTTCGACCCAGCGTTGCCAGCTGCGATGCACGAGACGTGGGCTTGGGACTTCTTCTCTGCACAGATGCGACTCAAGAAGGCGCCAGGTTGGGTGGGTCCCATGTACGACGAGGCGAACTCGGGCCTGGCGGCGACGCGTGGCAGTCCTTTCCCCTTTGTGCGATTTCCAGCAGGTATTTACGAACAACTCGTCTGGGTAGCGAGGCAGAACTCGATCGACCCCAACCTGCAAGGTGAGTTTGTAGCGGTCTTGGGTCAGGCGAAAGCGGTGCGGTTAAGTACAGGGCTGCCCGTGGATAATACTGACGTGTTGGGAGGTCAACCAGCGGACGTCCGAGGGGTGACGTTAATGAATCGTTAGTAGGGTCTGTCGTGAAGCGTATTCAGTAATCCATTTGGCTTTGATGTGTGCGTCCTTGTTGTCGAGGTAGTCTAGAACTGAACCAGCGTTTGGGGTTTGTTCGACCAAGTACTCCAATTCGCGGGAGTTAGGTAAACGTCGGTCGACTACCAGGAAAATCGGCGACGAGGTAGATGAGTAAGCAACGTCGTCATCTGGAAAGGACACTCGTTCCACGAAGCTGGACGAGGGTAGGCAGTCGATCGATAATTCGTCGGAAGCTTCGTCAGCTTCGGGGATCTCGTCGTCGAACGGTCGTGAATAGTAGCCCCGAAATGGTTTGAGTCGGTCGACGTTCACAGTTACCATCTTGTCAGGGTGTGATGGTATGTCGATCTTGTACGTGTTTGGTCCCATTTTACGTTCGACTCGGAAGGGTCCATGCCAATGCGTGGCTAGCTTAGTCGTCCGATGATCGTCTGGTCGAGACGACTTGGCGAAGTATTTGTAGTCCCAGACGGCTGTCTGTTCGCCTAACTCGATTGGTTTTTGGTTAGCCTTGGTCCTTGCACTCTTGTTTGACCGTTGATCAGTTGTTGTTCCACGAGGTTTCGTGTCTCTTTCCAAGACGCGGTCAGACGACGCTTATATTGGGACAAGTCGTCGAACTTCCAGGAGGGCTCGGCGTTCATAAACGCCAAGTCCAACGGCAACGTGGGGTCACATCCAAAGAGGCAAAAGTAGGGGGAGTCTCCAAGAGTTTCGTGGTGCGACGTGCGATACACAAAGAGCAGACGCGGTAGATAGGTGTCCCAGTCCGTCTGATGGTCATTCACATAGATCTTGAGCATCTGAATGATCGTATGGTTGAACCGTTCGACTAGACCTTGTCCTTGAGAGTGGTAGGCCACAGGCGCCAGCTTGTTGATGCCTAGCGTGGCATACATCGTCGTGGCCAGTTCGGAGACGAAGTTTGATCCGCGGTCGGAGAGCAGACGGTCAGGTACACCGAATCGATATAGGACTTCATCGATGAAGACACGACTGAAGGTAGACGTCTTCAGGTCTGGTACTGGAATGGCTTCGACCCATCGGTGAAGTAGTCGGTAAAGACCAAGATGTATGTATTTGTTGCCACTGTCGGACGTGGGTAAGGGACCAAGCGCGTCCACCACGACAAATGCGAATGGTCCGCGCAAGGAGTAGATTGGCATCCGTTGCATCGGACCTTGTTTCCATGGACGTCCGCCTTTGGCGCGATTGCAGTCTAGACATTTCGAGACGTAGTCTTTGCAATCCTGTTGCCAGTCTAACCAGTAGGCCGTTCGTCTGAGGCGTTCCCGAGTCTTCATGTAGCCGAGGTGTCCGGCCAAGGGGGACGCATGGGAAGCATAAAGCACTTCTTCTACGAGCGTGTAAGGTATGACCGGAACAAGGACGAGTTCGGGATTTCGAAGGGGTGTCTTGAAGGTGATGTATCGGCAGACGATGCCTTGTCTGACGACGAACTGATGACTGTTTCGAACGACGAGTTTGAGTAGGTGAGGGTCCAAGGGCTCAGCGCCTTCGTCTAGGTATGCCCTCAACGCTACGATCCAAGTGTCGTTCGCTTGTTCGTTGTACAGTCGGGGCGAAGGTCGACCCCGTCGGTCGTACAAGTCAATGGGCTGGGGCGCTTTGTTTGAGGTTGGTTCTGGTAGTCTTGGCTGTGTGGAGTTTACTTCGGACGAAGGCGACCTGGTTCGACTAGATTCTTTCCCCGTCGTGAGGTCTGGGTCAGTCTGAGCCAGACGTCTCATACTTCTCGTCTGGATCGGGCAAACTGGTAGATGTGATAATCCGTCAGCAGCGCCATTGAGTTCGCCTGCTCGGTGTAGTCCTGTCCTTGTATTTCCATCGTCCACCTGGCTAGTTTGTGGTTGCCTGATCGGGATCCTTGGTTGAAGAGCCAAGTGAGAGCTTCATGGTTGGTGTAGATGGTGAAGTGTCGCCGGTCAACATATGGACGGAACTTGCGCGTAGCCCAGACGACGCCACAGTATTC